AAAAAAAAAAAAAAAAAAAAAAAAAAAAAAAAAAAAAGAAGCTGCTCTTGGAGACACCTCTAGGGGGCAGGCTGGGCACACACCATCCCAAAGCTCCTGTCCGGGAGAGGTTTGTTGAAAACAGGGCAGTGCCAGCACTGCATGCCCCACCAAACCCCAGTAAGACCAGTGAAGGAAAAAGGCGGCCACTATCCTGGACCCAGACCTGAAAGTGTCCTGTGCAGCCCTGCCCACCCAGGGACCTTTGGGGACCTGGGCTTCCCTGTCCCTGGAATCCACTCCAGGGAGGACGTTAGTCAGCAAAGTGGAAACAAGAGCTCAGGGAATGGGAAAAGGGCAGCCAGAAGGTGCCCACTAGTAGTGCTCTGAGTCCCTGTGGCCCCATCCTTGGAGCTTCGGCTGGGCTGCTCCTGATCCTACCTTCTGCCTCCTGGACACTAGTTGTTCCTGGAAGATGACAAGGAGAGAAGGCCTGGTGCAATGGCTACCAGCAACCAAGGGCAGCCTCTCTGAGTGCAGCCTGAAAATGGAACTTAAAAACAACTGAAGCTATTCCACAGCACTCTAGCCCTGCATCTCACAGATGGCAGCTTTAGGTGCACTGGGGAGGGTATTTCCTGCTCTTCAAGAAGGAAGGAAGGGCCTTCCCTCAAAGCTCTGATGAGTCAGATCTCCATCTTAGGGTGCAGGTTAAGGCTTGAAAAAGCCTCCATTCCATTGCCCTTTGCCACCCCCGAGCCGAGGGTGTTCAGAAACTCCCTCACACTCACCTGTAGCCACAACCCTGAGCACCAGTTTCCCCTCAAGCCCCCACAAATGCACTGTACCCAATACCTGATCAGGGCTCCACACAGCCAGCCAAAGGCAGCACACACCGCACGATGCTTCTCTGTCTAATTAGTTTTTTTCTGATTTCCAGATGTAGATCCTCTTTTTTCTGAAGACTGTTACATCAGGAGAGGGGCAGGGAAAATGAGCAAAGTTACTTCCTGGAACGACAGCCTTTTCAGTAAAGGGCTTGGGGGAAGCAGAAGGCCTGCAGAGGAGGGGGGCTCTGGCTCCTCACAGGAAGTGGCCAGGCCTGTGGCTTCTCAGAAAGAGTGGAGAAATCGTGCTGGTTCAGGCCAAACGGCGCCTGTGTGGAGAATACTAATAATGAAGTGTTTACCTTGTCCCAGACACGATGCCAACTGTTAAATATATCATTTTTCTGAGTCCTCCCAGCCACACTGTCAGGTAGGGAAAATTTTATCCCCTTTTTACATATGGGTAAAGTGAGGTGAAGTAACTTGCCCAGGTAAGTGAGGGAGTGGGGACTTGAAGCCTGGTGGGTTGCCCCAAAGCCCACCTTGCTCTGTGCCTTGATTTCATGGGTGGGGGTGGAAGGTGCCAGGACCAACTTTCCTGCTTCTAGTTTTCCTTGCGGGGGGGGGGGGGGGGGGGGGCCTTGGGGTTTTTGGGGGGAAGGGGAAAAGGTGAGGGGAGGGGCGGGGAAGGGGGGGGGGGGGGGCCTTGGGGTTTTTGGGGGGAAGGGGAAAAGGTGAGGGGAGGGGCGGGGAAGGGGGGGGGGGGGGGCCTTGGGGTTTTTGGGGGGAAGGGGAAAAGGTGAGGGGAGGGGCGGGGAAGGGGGGGGGGGGGGGCCTTGGGGTTTTTGGGGGGAAGGGGAAAAGGTGAGGGGAGGGGCGGGGAAGGGGGGGGGGGGGGGCCTTGGGGTTTTTGGGGGGAAGGGGAAAAGGTGAGGGGAGGGGCGGGGAAGGGGGGGGGGGGGGGCCTTGGGGTTTTTGGGGGGAAGGGGAAAAGGTGAGGGGAGGGGCGGGGAAGGGGGGGGGGGGGGGCGTGTCTCTGGCTGTTCTGCGGTAAGCTGAAAAGCTGATGTGAAGGCCTGAGAAGTGGGGTTAGGGTGGCATTGCAGAGCAGCTGTACTTCATTGCTGACCAGGTAAGAGGGTCATTACCTGGACCCTTCCCCACATCACAACCAGACACAGGAAAACATACACATTCACAGATGCTCCTGGCCTCCCAGGAGCATGAGGCTTCCTAGAAACTCTCTAGTTTTCAAAAATTATTTCCTAAGAATGGAGGGAATTCTTTCTCCTACAATTCGCTCACATAAATGTCTGGAAGGATACATGACTGTTGGGAAAATATAGAAAAATGCTCAGGGCCTCTCAGATGTTCAGAATCTTGCCGAGCATCTGATGTAAATATGCACGTGCACCCGGGTGTTCCTTGTTATTGTCTAATGTGAGTGCATGTGTGCACCCAGGTGTTTTGGGTTATGGACTTAAGTATAAAGGACTAACGACTCTGATACACGGTGCTTCTCCGGATGCTCCGGGAAGCCACTAGGGTGGCTGCTCCTAGCTCTGAATAAAGCCTATTAATTTTTCGTCCATAGCTCCCAGGACCTTTTCCTATTACCTGGCTTGTAGACCTGTGTGTGAAAGGTTTGTGACCCGGTCTGTACAATGGGCTCGAGGGGTCCATGAGCCCTAGCCCTAGCTTTACAATGATGAATGCTAATAATGATTAATTAGTCTGCAGTGGGAATGCGGGTGGTTTTTACTATATCTTTCCCTTTTTGTTTACTATGTTTCCTAGGGTTTCTTTTCCTACATTGAACATGAATTACTTGTTTAATGTCTGAAGTGTGCTATAAAGAAAGTCACAACAGTGCCTCAGTCTTGGGACCTCTTTCCACTCCCCTGTGTGCTCTCCCCTCTGCCCCATCTGCTGCTCTGAGCTCATTTCCCTGAGTCTGAACCTGCTCTAATGGAAGCCCGGCAGGAGCAGAAGGCACTGGGGCCGGGTCATCCAGAAAGAGTAAGATGTGGCCTGGCTGAGACAACTGGGGTTGATGGGGGCCAGGGAGGCAGGGAGGCCAGCCAGAGCCTGTGGGGTGGGGCCAGTCCATGACTGGCCTGATTGGAGAAAAAGGTCCTATAGGGTTGGCAAGGGAGAGAAGGCTACTGAGGCAGCAGAGGCCTCACTGCCTGGGCCTTCAAATGCCAGGCCAGGAGTTTCCTCACACCTGTTATCCACGCATTCCACATACCTGTGAGCTGGCTTCCTGCTATGAGTCAGGAGCTGTGCTTGGCATGGGATAGGACTGGTGAACATGCCAGGCCAGGCCCTGCTGTCATGTCACTTACAGTTGGGCAGGTGAAATGGCATAACATACAAGTAAGTAAGTAACCACAGATGTGGTGATGGCTATGAAGAATGTGTTCTGCTTGCTGCTCTGAGGGGAACCTGGAATACTCAAGTGCACATGAATACCAAGTCCCCAAACATATGTTATTTAAGCTGAGTTTGGAGGGAGCGTGGGAGGGATGAGGGACTGGGGTGTAGAACATTCTGAAAGGAGCAGCACATTCAAAGGCCCTGGGGTAGGAAGGAGCTTGGCCTGTGTAGGAGCAGAAAATGGATGGCGTGACTGGAGCATGTAAACATGCTGGTTGGATGGTGTTACATTAGTTTCCTAGGGCTGCTCTAACAGGTTATCATGAATTTGGTGGCTTAAAACAAGAGAAATTTATTCTCTCACAGTTCTGGAGAAGAAGTCTGAAACAAGGTGTTGATGGGGCTGTGCTTTCTCTGAAACCTCTAGGAGGACCTTTTCTTGCCTATCCTGCCTTCTGGTCCCAGGCATTCTTTGGTTTGCTGGAACCAAATCCATCATTATATGCTGTTCTTCACCTTGTGTGTCTCTGTATTCACATGGCCTTTCTTCTTCTTGTAAGGACACCAGTCACATTGGATTAGGGCCATCCTAGTGACCTCATCTTAACTCAATTACATCTGCAAAAACTCTATTTCCGAATAAGGTTGCATTCTGGAAGTTAGGACTTCAACGTATCTTTTGGGGGACACAATTCAGTCTATAACAGGGTCAGTGATGTAAGAATGGGACTGGAGAGTGGGAAGGACTCTGGTGGGCTGTGGCCAGGGCCAGAGGGCCTGGAAAATGTCACAACAGCTGCATGCACAGATTGTCCTCTGCACTCAGACAGACCATTGGTGCTGACAGGTAGAGACCTTGCAGCTCTTCCAGACTGACCATCTGGTCATCGAGCAGGAGGCTGAGGGCCACGGAGGGAAGTTAAGCCCAAATTCCAGGCAGACTGGCTCCCAGGCTGCTGCTGTCAGGCAGTGCTACTGAGCACCAGCGTCTGCTTCACCATCTGCTCCTGCGCACTCCTATTCACACAGCTGCTTCTTCCCTCCAGATACCCCAGAAGTGCGGGGCTGGGCTGGCTCTGGTTTCTATTTCCAGCTCAGTTACAGCTCCCACAAGTCTTCCCTGAAATTCGTCGTTAGGGTCCCTGGGAAAGAAATAAGCCCCCATACACTCATTCAGGGAACACTGGGCCTTGGACAGGGTGTGAATGTGGTACAGAGGCCTCTGGCCTCTATGGAGCCAGTCTTTTGCCCACACAACCTCAGTGCTCCTTAATCTTGCTGTAACAGGGACATTGGGGAGACTTTAAT